TCGTAGTTCAGTCGCTTACCTGCTGTGGCAGCGCCGCCGTTCCGTAATCCAGACGACACTGGGCCGCTGGGGGGCGCGTGGGTTGGTAATGGCAGTGGCGAGCTGCTGGGGCGAGCAGTCCCAGGCTATCATTAGGCGAACCGCAGTCGGACGCGCACGGACGCGATGTGTCATATTTTTGTAACGGCGTGCGTCCGTTTTGTGTTGGCTGTCCTGTCTCCTGCCCGCGTCCATTCTCTCTCTCTCACAATAAACCACCCAGACCTGACGTCCGGTCGTGTCGGTGCACCAGCGGGCGGGTGGGAGGCCGCTCTCCGCCGTCCAGTTCCGAGTCCCGGCGCTCTCCGGTGACCCGAGCCCGTCCGTCCGGCCGGCTCACCGCCACGTCCGACCCCCGTCCGGACCGTCCTGCGCCGCACCAGGTGAGTGTCCGACTCCGCTCCGGCCCCGCGCCGCCCGACGCACCGCACCCATTCCGCGCTCAGTCATCGGCGCCACGCCTGTGGACGCTACTTTGCTCTCATCTGAACCCCATTCCCCCCTCATTTGCCAGCCGTAGTGCACATTTTTGTATTTGAATTTGTAGACTGTGCTCGTGAGAGTGTACAAAATCGCTGTGATGAGTGTGTCAGGATGTTTGCTCGTAGCAGTGGAGAATACACTCATTTCGGTAACGGTCATCTCGGCACCGAGCGAAAGGTTTGAGGTATAGGGCCAGTTCCGGATTTGCAGGGGTAAGTAAGTTGTTCGTTAGGTAGATGAACATGTTTGCTCAAATCTTTTTGGCATTTAGGGGTTACAAATTTTTTTATCACTTTATCTAGGACACGGGAATCGTGTGCAGCAGCTAGGTAGAAATTCCCTGTAGTCGATCGTAGTCCCTTCAAATTTCGGACGTTTGAGGTCAGGTTGAATGATGGGACAGTCTCGTGTTAATGCATTTTCACTGGATGGAGAGATGTTACGTTGTGAGACTATTGTGGGTTAGGGTGTACCGGTACAATGCAGGTGCAGGTAATAGGGGAAGTTGGGGGAACGCCGAATACTTTTTTTCTGACGCCCGTAGCACGCAAGGTAGACAACATAAGCTATTCTTGTTGGCGTCATTCGAGAGGCCAGTCTTTTGCCTTTCAAACATACCAGGCGCATTTGATGAATTCGCATACCGTTAAGCGCACAAACTAAAAATATCAAAGAAGTGACTTTTTCGGCGTTGCCCCGGACTGCGGGGAAAGCCGAAAATGGGACAAATGATCTACGGGGAATGCCGACATTGATGTTTTGCCACTTTATCTCAAACTTTATCCAGAATTTATCAAAGCTGACACGCGTTTTAAGAGCTTGAGGACGCTTGGTGCACACTGGAAGTTATAATTTTGTGATATAATAAGAAAATGCCAGGTAAATAATTCCTTATAGGTAACAGGCCGTTGTGTCGGTTGAAAGTGTAATTTGTGTGACTAAAAATTCGCGTTGCTATTCTACAGCAGTAAAGTCCACGTAGCGTGCTTTAACGTGCGTAATTGCACGTTTTCGGCATTACCCCAGCCAGCCATACTTTCATTTGCAGGCCAATAACTTTTCAACGTGCCGTATAAATTTCAAATAGGCAGCACACTTATGCAAAGACATGCTGAAGATTACTTGACCGAATTGGCCAGACAAACGGTAGCATAATGAGTAAGAAATGCAGCTTCAAAGGCGCATGTAGTACACGGAACGCGTACCTTTAAAACGCTCTTGGCGCCCTCACAGCCGAAGTATTCCTAATGACGACTCGTAACAAACATGCGATAATTGTAGTCACTTAAGCTTCAGAGCATCACTGACAGGTGGCATTCATGTCTTACGGTTTTCGAAATATCTCGAATTTCGGCTTTGTCCCAACTCCGGCATTGCCCCAACTTCCCCTAATTGACGCACATATTTGGTCTCTGAAATAATTACGTGCACCTACATGTTCACTGGGATCACTTCAAGTACGGATAGTACACTACCTACCTAGTGCTATATGATTATTTTTAGATCATCGCTGAAGGACTTTTTTAGGTTTAGGTTTACGGATTTTTTATGCTTTGTGGCACGTGCATCCTCACACGCTTTGCGAACATATGCACTGATTCGCCTGTTTCCTGTCCGTTTTATCCCAGCCCGTTTTAGTGTAAGATGTTGAACGTTCCATAGTTTGTTTGTTTTGTTTTTTGTATCGCCCGCTATTTTTCGAACACGTTGGCGTGTCTTCAGGACAAGTGTGACTGACCTTAGGCCAGGTCGGGTCGTTGGTCACTCCAAGTGACCTCGATCTAAAAAGAAGGCAAAGGTCCCTCCCCCGCCGTTCCCATACATACACCTAGCCTAAACGTCCCGATCGGAACGATTACATTGAAACTTAGTTCGTTTGGCTAGGTTGGCATGATGGAGGCAACGAGTTTCTGAATTTCAATATCGGCTATTGGACATACAGCGTAAAACAAATGTGTTTAACACTCATCGTTTGAAAGCCGCATTAGCTGTGTCGTGCCTCAACCGTACTTCAGCCACAGTAAGCCAGAGCAGCTACGAGGCAGCCGAACCCATGGCAGGGAGCCGGACTTAACCCTATTAGTGGCAGGGGGGGTTGTTTTTATCCACCCCTCAGGTTTTTCGGGAATATCTCCGAAACCGCTGAAGCTACGATGCTGAAATTTTCTGACTTTTCCTAAAACTAAATTAGGCACATTCCCTGAAAATTTCAAGTTCATAACTTTACCAGGGGCGGCTCCAGAGCACTGGGAATTGGGGGTCCTATTCGTGAAGCGAGTCATTTGGGCGAAGATCACGATGCTGCACCAGTTTTACGAACAGTGAATGAAAGGTATCATGTGATAACATATACAAAGTTATTGTGCATCCCCTTTTGACACGTTTTTGCTATAATAGGCGGATCCAGGCGTCCAAAAAGGGGGGTTATTTTTTACCTCCCAACATAGGTGCCCTGACACCGCCTATGCATGACCAATACAATTTTAGTCGTTCTCTCATAAGAAAATTGTAACATAACAAGACCATTGCCACCCTTTTTAGAAACAGTACCAACAAAAACCTTATTTACTATACTTTTTGTGTACCCCCAATCTCAATGATCTGTATCCGCCTATGATTTTTGAAAATGCATATTTTTAGGATCCATGTGAATTCCTGGTTCATTCTCTATCGATCGGCAAAAGTTGCGTTAAGATTGGTTCAGAAACCTGGCCGTGATAAACAGTCTAAAATGTATCTGCAATTTGCCCGTTTTTACCCCCCTCTACCCCCCTATTGACATTTTTTAATTTTATTTTTTTTTTAGAAATGTAGATCTCGTTGAGCCAAATCGAATGCCGTTTGAATTTTGAAAATCGGCCGGTTAGATCTCGAGATATCAAGGGGGGGTCGTAAACAGCCCCCCCTGCCACTAATATGGGGTAGCCAGGAGCCTGCCACTAATAGGGTTAAGCCGGATTTGACGGTCGAAAGCCATTTAACTCCGGAGCGTTACGGCAAAGACAGGGTAACCGGAAGAGAGCCTTATCGACCCAAACCCCCTGTTTCGACGGCGTTCCGTTTACACCGATGTCGGAGTTGGGGCAAAACGGACTTGAGCCTAACCAAATTGCTTGCCTAACCAAATTGCTTGCTGGGACACTGCTAGGAGAGGATTAGGTGATAGGTATATTACCCCTCCCGGCGCTAGCTAAAACAAATGCGCCTGTTATCCAGTCAGCCTTCGCTCTATTGTCACCCAACAAGTTCAGGGTCGTTCCGGAGCTCTTACCTTCTCGCTGCTGCTGCTGCAACATTGCATTTTGCAGGTGCGCAATAGCAGGAGCAGTGCGTTTTGACAGGCGGATGACGGACAATCAGGAGGTTCTATTCAATGTCAAAGGCGCGTGGATGCAGACGACGGGGCTTTTCAGCGTGACCGGGCCGCGGCGTGGCGACATACGAACTGCTAGCTTCAGCGACCACCTGAACGGGAGAGCTTAGGGGCACACCGGTGTGTGGGCACGGTGCGTTTATGTTCCATGTCTACTCATCTCTCACTTATCAGAACGTTACGGTGTAACTTAGATAACGTCATTACACAGCTAAATGCGATCCCAGCTGTCATGATTTGTGCAAATCAGATAACTAGTGAGCACAACAACTGGAACAATGGGGTGCGTTGCACATCTGACGGTGTTTTGAGTCGGTTATCGGGGTATCGCGGAGTCCGATGAATAGCGTTGAGCCACTGGAGTAGACGTCACTCATACCCCGACCTCGACAAAATGAACTGTTGGCACGGCACCGCTTCAGCCTTCAGTACCTATCAGTAACTGAAGGAAATCCATTTGTTGCTGAGACCAGAGTAACTTGTAACCGACCAAACGTTAGGCGTTTGCTCTTCAGGCTGACTGTAAAAATAGCATTATATCGACGTCATGCCAAACGCGATAGCGATTAGCGATGCCTAAGTGGAATGCCAAAGTGGCATACCTTATGGTTACAACATGCACACATCCTATATAAAGACACGTCCTTGTTAGGACGGAGATAAAGCAGATCTATCGCTACAACCAGAGACAGACGGCGGCAGGAAGGTAAGTAAATTGCTAAGAAAAAAAAAACTTTAATTAACCCTCGCCGGCATGACTGACCACTCCGCAATCCATGGTTGCACGAATGGTGTGACCTAATGCTACTTTGTCAGAAAATTGAAATGAATGTTGACGGTGCCCTAATGACCTTGGCCTGACTCTAAAAGAGTGGATCATGTATTTAACTAAAATATATTCGTGCGTTAGTGTCGAAACTGATTTTTTCTATATTTATATACACACGAGGAATGGATGCGAAGCTTTAACCTACCAACTATCATCCATATTTGTTCTAAGGTCTTTGCAACATGTACGCAAAACCTGAGTACCTAGTTGCAGTGCATCTATTTCCTGTGCCGGTGAGGGTTAATATTCATTATTAGGTCGACCCGAAAATCCATTCATAGATATAAAGACTAGATAGGGCACCCCCATGTCGGGAGCGACTCGCGAATACGTAGCAGCGGCCGCCATGTTGGTGAGGGCGAGAATCTGCGGCGCTGTGCGAACACTATGGGAGGAGGGGGGTGTTTGGGACAGATTTTGTGGTATTTTTCGACCGAAAAGTGTTTATCTTTTTTACCTATGGCATTCGTTGGAATGAGTAGATTGTGAAACAGGGGCAGAAACATGTGTATTTTTTGTAATGTAATTACATCAGCCCTAGACATATAGCCCTGAAGACGCTGATAAAGGATATGCGGCACCGAAGGTAGATGCAATTGGCATGCTAATTTAAGATTAAATTCGTTTCCCATTATGGCTACCATACTTTATATCTATGTATGCAGTATGCAATGGACAATGATCGACAATAAGTGCAATTTTAGCTCTCACCCGTTCGTAGTTTGTCAGCGTCTTACGAGTAGGGGAAGCCAGGGTGAACGGAGTGAACTCCAGCCGTTCGCCCCTCGACGGAGCAAGAACGGAAAAAATAGGTATGCTGTCCGCGATGTGAGTAAACCAGTGATACCAAATTTCAGGGTACTAGGTCAACAGGTGAACTCGGAGGTCAGGTCAAACACTGGAAATCGAACCAGTAAAGTCACTGGAGTTTGAGATCTTTCGCTATAAAATCGACCAAAACGCGTGAACTGTCGGCGAAATGGGTTACATCATTCCCAATCAACCTCATCTCGAAATCTAGCGAACCGGGTCACATAAGGTCATACAAGGTCAGCGACCTTAGATGACCTCGGATGGCCTTGACACATGGCGGGTCATGTGAAGTGTATTTATGGGCTCCGATCTCGAATCCCGTGTCAATCTTACTTTAAAAAATGATTTGCGGGCACAAATCCGCAAACATAATTAAGGATTACGAATAAAATGAGCAACATGCTCCGAAAACTGCCCATATGAAGCGCAGCCTTGACCTCGAGGCAAATGCACGTTATCTAGACATCAACACTAAAAAAACGCATGTAAAATGCATAAACATGCACTAGAAGGCAAGGAAATTCACCCGGATGCGGCAAATCGCAAAATCCGCTTATTTTAGCCGAACATGACCTGACCCGAGCTCCGATGACCCATTCCTCACTTTGAATCAATCCGCGCCCCCTACAGGCACCGACATCGCCCTTGCAGACAGCACCGACGATAGTCGCACAGGCACGTGGCGAGCTAGTGTAACTGTAGCCGCGCCTTCAGCCACGAACACCAGTTTGTGCCGGATCAGCCAGCCACGGAGCAGAGACGGCCGGCAACGAATCGGCAATTAACAGTGCTACATATCGACACGGTCACAAGAGGCGAGGCGTTAACCCAGCGCCCACTGCATTGGTCGCCAGTGGACCCACTCAGTCACTAAGCAATCATCGACAAAATACGTCTTTTATCGGCCAGACATTGATCTGTTCATTAATATGAAGTGTCCATCCAAATCCACGCTATCCGCCACACAGCAGCTATCGACGGTAGATACCCACTCCAGCGGCAGCTGGCCGCGACTCACTGACACTGGCTAGAGACAGCTGACCGCTGAAATCACCAACACTTCGGCAGGGTATGAGCGGGTCTCAGTCAGATCCCAGGCATGTAACCCGTCCCCACCTTAGCTCATCTGGCAGAGATGATGAAGAGGTGGTAAAGCTGTGTCATGTCGTCCGGCTGGATGTCGCTCACCAGGGCCTCCTGACAGGTGCTACAGCTGACAGAGTCGAGCGCCTTCTTCACCACGAACCCTGCGATGTAGGTGGCGATGTTGCCCACCAGACGACAGCCCAGGCTGGAAGTCGTGCTCCGTGATGATGTGGAGTGCCGTGGCACCGTTGTCTGAGGTGGTGGAGGCCGAGGTAGTAAGGCTGGCTCCCCGTCCGCTGGTCGTGTGACCGACTGCCAGGATGCTGGTCGGGTCGAGGGCTGCCACTTTCCCTGTGCTGCCGGGCCGGACGCCGCAGCGGTGGAGCAGGTGCCGGAATATCCCGCAGAACTGTGCGGCACTGGGGTTGTTCCAGCCACCTGGAAGGTTCGATTAGTATCAATAAAATATGGCTAATAGTGTTTAGTGTTAACATACGCCAGGCACAAGTGTTGTATTTGTTGTTAAAACATTGTTGACACACACGCACACGCACACACACACGCACACACACACACACATGTTGGCAATGGTAAAGCAGTCTCCGGGCATTTGGTAATAATTTTTTGCACTTATTCTGGTTTTAGTGACTGATAGGCCTTTACCCACGCATGACTGGAGGGTGGGGCTCTACAGAGCCCCTCTCCTGTTTTCTGCAATAAAATATTTACATTTATATATTGAAAAAATAAAATATATATTTATTGCAATATTTCTAAACCACTAGACGTGTCAATACGAAACTTGCAGTACCTTCGGCTGCATCAATCTGAAACATTTTATAGAAATAAAAATTGTGTAGCTACCATAGGTCGGCCGGAAATGACGTCAGAGTGATCAGTGAAGTCATATTCTGCCAATTTTGATGCAATAAATTGAACTACAGCAATCGCTCTCGGTGACAGATAACCTGTAACAATATAAAAAATCAAGAGTCTGTAGCTTTTACTTGCCAATGCAGGGTGATCTCTTGACTCTTGAGCCTCATCCCTGGTTTGTCAGCAATCAAATCCTGCACATCTATTTGGCATCTTGAGAGACTGAGAGGCAAATTTCAATTTCAAAAGATACTAGTCTTTAAAGCTGAAACATATTAACAGTTAGTCAGATCAAAACAAGGCCTGTAGCATACAAGTGTAGGATACTGGATTTGCACACAGTACACACTACAAAATACACATAGCAAACAGTGAGATTACAGTCATGGAAAAGCATCAGGTTTTTAAAATAATAGTTTACACAGACTTAAATACAAGAATTTAAATGAGCTTCAAATAAAATGAGAAGTGGAGTGAAGTACCTAACAAATAAGGGTATCCATAAATCTGGTGCCACCGTCGGCACATATAAGGTTGGTAGGTTGTAGCTGGGTAGGTTGTAGGTATGGAGGTTGTATGTAGGTTGAGGTTTGTAGGTTGTAGGTTAGTTAGGTTAGTAGGTAAGGTTTGGTCAAGTAAGATTATGATTTTTATCTTCCTTGGACTTCATATTTACTTGTTAGCACTTAGCATTGATGGTAACGCCAGATTTACTAATACCCTATTTACTGATACTGATAACAGGTGAGCCAAAAGAGCATGAAGTGTAGTTTAAGCTTTACAATGTGAAAACTAATTAGGTAATGACAATCTGAGTTTAGGTGCTCCAACTAACGCACATTTTTACGTCACCCCTGTGCTGTTCATTATTGGGATCAAATGTGCTACACAGTTCACTGGTGCAGATATCACGACGTCTGGCATTTTCACTATCTATCAGCCAGGCGCGGATCCAGGGGGGGGCGACGGGGGCGGCCGCCCCCCCCCCCGACATCCGAAAAAGGCGCCCATAGCCCGCGGCAGAGAGGGCGCCCCGAGCAAAACAGAGGCGACACAGCAAAGGTTGAGCAGAAATAGGGCGCCTCCAGCAGAAGTTGGGCTCACCAAGCAGGAGAGCGACGCCCAATTGCCCATTCCCAGCAGATCAGAGTCGCCCCAGAAGCAGATGGGCGCCCCCAGCAGAAGAGGGGCGTCTTATTACAAGAATAAAAAGATGCCTTCTGTTCAAGAGGGGCACTCCTGGCAGGAGAGGTGTCCCCCTGAAGAGGAGCGACGCCCCAGCAAAAGTAGAGAGGCGCCCCCATTCCAAGAAGAAGAGGGGCGCCCTAACCGCAGATAAGCGCCCCAACAAAGAAAAAGAGAAGCCCTATAATAAAAAATGGGTTCCACTGGCAGAAAAGGGGCGCCCCCGGCAGCGGAGGGGGCCCAGCAGGAGCAAGGAGCCTCCAGCAGGAGACGGGCGCCCCAGCGAGGGGGGCGCCCCAGCAGAAGAGAGGAGCCCCCTGCAGGAGAGGGGCGCCCTCAGCAGAAGAGGGGCGCCCCAGCAGAAGAGAGGCGCCACAGCAAAAGTTGATCAGAGATGGGGAGCCTTCAGCAGAGGTTGGGCTCGCCAAGCAGGATAGGGGCGCCCCATTGACAATATCCGGCAGAAGACAGACGCCCCAGCAGCAGATGGGCGCCCCCGGTAGAAGAGGGGCGCCTCATTACAAGAAGAAAAGGAGTATATTCTGCACAAGAGGGGCGCCCCTGAGGCAGCGGAAGGGCAACCCCAGGAGAGGGGCTGTGCCCCAGTAAAAGGAGAGTGGTGCCCCGCTCCGAGCAGAAGAGGGGCGCCCAAGCAAAAAGAGGAGCCCCATAAGAAGAAAAGGGATGCCTCTGGCAGGAGAGAGACGTCCCCCGCAGTGGAAGGGCGCCCCCAGAAGAGGCGTCTCTAGCAAAAGATAAGTGCCCCTGCAGGAGAGGGGCACCCCAGCAAAAGTTGGGCAGAAATGGGGCGCCCCCAGCAGAATTAGGGGTCGCCGAACAGGAAAGGGCCGCCCCATTCACAGTAGAAAAAGCGACTCCCCAGCAGCAAAGGCGTGCCCTAACAGAAAAGGTGCACTCCCAGTAGAAGCGGGACGCATCAGGAAGAAGAGGGGCACTTCTAGCAAAAAAATGGGCGTCCCAGATAAGTGGGCCGCCTACAGCAAATTGGTCGTTCTTAGAAGAAATGAGGCGACTTCAGCAAAGTGAGCCTCCCTATGACGGATTGGGCGATCCAAGCAGAGGTTGGGCGCAAATATCTTCAAAACGGCGGCGCTGCGCGCAGCCGTCTTAAAGATATTTGCGAAAAACCTAGGGGGACGTGACAACGCACGGCGTGGGTTTTAAACTCTCGATTTTGACGACGGTTTGGCGCCCCCGGATTGCCAGGTCGCCCCTATTTCAACTTGCCGCCCCCCCTCCCGAAAATTCCTGGATCCGCCCCTGCTATCAGCTCTGGTTGAGGGTGAGCGTGGTATGCCACTGCACTCTGAACCCAGAGCGGATAAGAGCCCCCGAGGCATCTGGCATAGTGCATGGATTTTTCGTTTGGCACTGAACTACTATTTAATACTAACTGATGACATTAAGTAAAGTACTAATTTAAAACCTATAATCATAAAACCTTCTTACTTCATAAATATTGTCCATTGAAGGCAACAGTAGAAAGTGAGCAGGCAAAGCAAGTGTAGGTAATGAGTCTGCTTTCCGCTGCCAATGTTCTGGTACCTATCTAGGTAAGCTTTCTTTGTGAAAAATCATATGACTGATGCTCTATCCATGCAAGAATAATTAAAGGATTGTGGTGTGCACAAAAAAACATGGGAACTGAATTAAATCTAAAACAGGCATGCCAAGCAAATCTACCTTTGGTGCCGCCTATTCTTCATCAGCGTCAACAGTGCAACATGTCTAAGGCTAACGTAGCCAAATTACAATAGATAAGCATATTTCAGCACTTGTTCCACAATCTACACATTCCAAAGAATGCCGTGAGCAAAAAATATTAGCATTTTTCGGCCGAAAAATACCACAAAATCAGTCTCAAATACCCCCCTCCTCCCGTAGTGTTTACACAGCGCCGCAGATTCCGCGCCCTCACAAACATGGCGGCCAGTCGCACGCACTAAAACACTGCCAATGTCCCATCTAGTCTTTTATATCTATGAATCCATTTATCAGCACATAGGTATAAAGATTCGGCCTCCTTGTTCCTGTTCAAAAGATATTCATTAGTCATATAAAGTATAAATTATAATTGAAATTCATGCTCTTCGGTGTCTGCATGTTCATCAACTTTAAGTCTTTTGAAAAGCGTTATAGTCATATAATGTAATTGCCTTGCATCTGACCTACTGAGCTTACACATTGCTACAGCCGTCCTCCCGAACTGCGCCTTGCATGGTCAGTTCCAATCATTCAGGAGCTAATGACGCCCAGCTATGAACCTGCGGAGGCCTTCGACTGGCTGGGCGGACTGCAGTGTTGTGCAACTGTCCTGGTGACCTGACCTGACCCGGCGCGGTGCTGTTGCAGGGGCTGCCGGCCGCCGCGGCCGCCGGGTGTGGCCGGCCCTCCCCGGCTGGTGATGTAGCCCGGGGCGCCGTCTGACCCTGCCGGACCGGCGCCCCACGGCCAGGGGCGCCGCCTGACCCCGCCGGACCGGCGCCCCACGGCCGGTGTCATTGCGCGGCGGGTGAGGTCCGGCGGCAGGAGTCGGGGCACTTGATGGTCGGTGTCACGACGTCCAGCCTGTCGGTCGGTAACCCCCGCAGATGCGGCCGTGTCGGAATGAAACTGTGTACCTGTTTTGATAATTTTTATTGGAGCTGGTGTTTCTCTTAGGGTACATCTGTGTACATTTGTCCGTACTTCGTCTGTGTACATTTGGAGACGGTGGATATTTTTGTGCACTGAGCTGATATGATGTGATAGGAAATTGACAAAGCGCATGGCCTGCGTTGCTACACGATGGCTGTGATATTGCTAGCTAGTCAGAATTCAGAAAAGTCTATTTTTGCAGCCCCTGATAAGGACATGCGTTTATGCTGTGATGTTTGTACAAAATCTTTGTTTTGGTATACAACAACGCTCTGGGGAAATGTTGGCATGTCCATGGCGCGAATGATAGCGACCTAAACGGCAGACTTTGATTGCGATTTGGGGACATTAAAACGCCCCTACATTACCGCTCGATCAATGCTAACACGACTGCAGCTGGATAATATGTCATGATTTATTTCGACACGGTCCTCGTGCTAGCCGCGATACCGCATTTGTTGCGTAAGCGTGCGCGGACTTCACTGTAAAAGCTGGTGGTAGGATCGATGTCGAAATAGGACTGTAATCAGACGTAGCCCCCGGCGATTAGTGGGTCGATAGTTACGGTCACTGGTCATGAGCAGTGAGAAGCTGCGTGCTGTGAACCTGAGATCGCGTATGAGTAATCCTGTGATATCTGTATCGATAAAATGTTTATTTTGGTATAGATAACGTTAAAGTTAGAGCTGATAGGGTTGTTGTAAGGTGGACGGAAGTACTGTTTTAAGGGAGTTATCGGTCAAATATCATTTAATTGATCGTCCGATCGAATTAATAGAGTTGCAAAGGTATTTTGCTTGTCTTATCTAGGAAGTGCCCCAATGGCCGTTACTGTGATAATTTCTTGCCGCTCACGCATTATGAGTGAGTGACGTTGTTACACAGCATTTTTATTGTTACCTATATATTTTGTTTTGCTTTTCTCATTTCCATTGGCTAATGGCTATAGACCCAACACTGCTTTTGCTTCGCGCATGACTAACTGATAACAAAAAGCGGATTTTCCCTAAAAGCAGTTTGTTTGTTTGGTGGCTTTATGTTATGTCAGCGAATGCATTGTTGTTATATTTACCTACCTTGGATTGGTTGCAGCATAGTGTGTGTTTGTGTCATAACACTGCACTCCAGCCCGGAGATGTTCTTCCAATTCCATGATTCATCGGTCGAAATATCTCGCCTGTATTTGTGACGTGATTGAAATAAATGCCAAGAACTGCAAAAGCGCGTGTACGGGACGGATTACGGAATAATTAATTTTCCTTTCAATCAAAGGAAGGCGAGGAAATGACACATGACCCTCGTCAGCTAAGTGTCGCGTGTAACCACCCGACCTGCCACGCCTGGGCGCCCATCGACCAGACAGCTGACACCCGCAAAGGTTAAATGGGAGCACTTTATGTGTGAACGGTCATATAGGCACGGGGGTCAGACCGAGCCGGGGCCGGTGACTTTATGGTCGCGCTTCCAGGAAGCGGCAGTTCCATAGAAATGATTACTTTATCAGATGTACAGCAGACAGCAAGGTAGAGAGTTTTGCGCTGAGTGCACCTTGCGGAACGATTATTATAGGGGAAGGTGGGGTAAGACGGCCCAGCGGGGCAAGACGGACCACCAGCCCTCCCGGCTGAACCGCTGCTAGTATCTACTGCTTTATGCACTCACTATGTTTGTTTTCCTTCGTAACAATGGCCACCTTGAGCTCATGCTGCTAGGATGCATAGCTTTTGAGTTATTGAGAAAAATGTTGTTTTTCGTCAAACCGATCTAATATAAGAGGTCTACGGGTGATTCAATTACGGCGCCTTTCTGGCATGATTAGTTTCTATTTTGCACTTAACTGTGTAGAACAAAGTTATAAACTTAGTTATAGGTAGTCACACTTAAGGAAAGGCAAGGTTTTGCAATGTTGGGCTATTTGACATATACGTCATGATAATGACAGAATTTAGATTTGGGGCAAGACGGACCACTGTGTTCCATCTTGCCCTGTGGTGGTCCATTGTACCCTGCATATGGAAAGTTCTTTCCCAAAACATTGACACAAGCTTACGTAAGCAAATTTTTCAGGAAGGAGTCTTTGTTGCATGTGAATTGTGAGCCATGCATGCAAGTGTTCAGTTAGCATGCATTCATGCCAAACGACAATCAACACACATGTTCTCAGCTTTTAGCTGCACTTCCATCACACATGAGTAAAGAATAAAGGCTCATTTTGTTATTTTACCATTCTGGTTACTTTTTCTTACAAGAGTACAGAGCAGAAGTGTAACACACATGAACGGATAGCAGGCACTGCTGGGTGGTCCGTCTTACCCCACGTTTTTTCTTGTCTGAGTTTTTGACATGTCCCTCTTTAAGAGCATCCACCACCTAGATGTCTTTAATTTGAAATTTAGTCTTTACACATATCAACAGAGGAAGGATTGAGCATTCCGAAGACTATAAATAATATGAATTACGAGAGCAGTGTAGCAAGATATGCGGCCTCAAACCTTAGCTGGTCCGTCTTACCCCACCTTCCCCTATATTAAACCGCGAGTAGGTAGAACAAATCTTTTAAAAGTCGGGCCGATAAGCGAGACGTTTAAAATATTGTTCTATCTACGAGCGGTTTTATGTTTACCCCGTACCGCTGATATCTTTCGGGCGCTTAAAGGTAAATAATACATTTTGTGTAAAAAATACGGCATATTTCAGACTAGACGAAGCGTCCACTAGACGTTTAACAGTTTATTAATCGCAAGGGTTAATCGTCTAGACGTTTAACAAGTCAGTTAAACGAGTTAATCAACATCTGATAATTTTCTCTTTTTGCACGTGAAACAATTGTATGAACACTGCTACGGTGCGGGATAATTTGGGTTTATCCCGCACCGTTTACCGTTGCTTCACGTGCAAAGAAAGAAAATTATCAGATGATGTTTAACTGATTTGTTAAACGTCTAGACGATTAATAAACTGTTAAACGTCTAGTAGACATTATATATAGTCTAGTCTGAAATACATATGTCGTATTTTTTATTAAAATATATTTTTTACCTTTAAGCGCCCTAAGATATCGACAGTACGGGATAATGGCTACGTTTCCATGGCACAAGTTAGGCCGATTTTGAAAAATGGATTTGCTCCATCATAGCATTTAGGCATAATGTAAAAATGTAAATATAGGATTAGGTGCTAGCTAAAACCTTATATACGATCATTTTTGCATAAGGTAAATAGTTTCCGAGAAAAACGCACGTGAAATTTCGCTAAATCGATTTAGACGTGTCATGGAAACGTAGTGAAAATTATTATAAAGCGGTTTATTTTTTATATTTATTTTTTATATTTAGCTTGTTTTTTTATAAACCGCTCTTAGGAAGAAAAATATTTTAAACGTCTCGCTTATCGGCTCGACGTATAAAAAATTGTTATTCCTACTCGCAGTTTAATATATAATATACACTGTACAGTTTTCATGGACCTAATTATTAAATACTTTCTACTTTGCATCGGTATTCGTTACGTTGAGGGATCACTTAACACCATTTCCCGGAAGTAATAGGATGCTATACAGTCGAACAGAAAGTAAGGCTGGATGTGGCTAAACCAACGGGAAATGCACTTGCGTTTACGACAGAACTTAAAGACCTTGGTGGGCTAAGGATGGATTAACTAGTGGATTATACCTTCTAATGAAACAAATGGATGCCTCTTCTCATTTAGGCAATCTTTGCAAACCACTTCGATTCTCTAAACGTTTGCATGTAGGGAGACATTCCCAATCCCATGTTCCTAAATCCTGAAACATGCAGAGTATGTGACATTAGGTCATTCCACAATATTCACAATGTTAACCCGCGCCCCGTAGGGCTACCGGCGGACCCTACCACCCGTAGGGGGGGGGGGGTCGTTTCGGCCCCCCCCTAAGATCTCGGAAAGTTACCGGCCGATTTTCAAAATTCAAACGGCGTTCGATAGCCCCACCCAGGAACTACCTTGTGACCAAATTTCATTGACCTAGGTCAAACCGATGACGTCACAGGTCAGGTCAAAGGTCAGATTTTTACTGTTCACAGGCAATTCAAGAAATGTGCTGTGAAAGCGAGTAAATTGGTAATTTATTGAAAACCATCGATAGTACATTGTTCGTCAAACACATACTTTGCTATCTGGGGTCACTGATACCAGGTCAGGTCACAGCGAGGTCAGGTCACCGGGGGTCACAATATGAATGTGTCGTGTGATACATGTTTTATGGTCCATTTTACATGACAAATGCGATTATGTGGGTTAGGCAGCCTTTGGGGCCAGCCTAGGTCACGTTTTTGTGAAGGTCAGGTCAAGGTCAGGTCAAATTAGGTCAAATTTCAAAGTTGATATTTTTGCATAAAATGGGTATCGATTCGATGCAACTCGTCACGGGGAGTCTAATGGTGGGCTTCGTTTTGCTCTACGAGTTCCAGAATTGCCAAAAATTGAGTTTGAAAATTTGACGTCATCATTTTTGAACAGTTTTTTCGCTATAACTTGGCTAAAAAAACAAGGTATCGATCTGAAATTTGGTATGTAGATAGAAGACGTTAGGCACTATCACATATATTCCGTTTTTTCGAAACTCAAAAAACTTTTTGGATTTTTTGGCGAATATATCCAAAAAAATGTTTTTTTGATTTTTGGGGGTCAAAACTCAAAAATTTCAAAAATTCGAGATAGCAATTTGTAGCCCTGTCAATTCTACACCTTTTATGTCTTGATCATTTTTCTGTATCTTCAAAGCTGTAGACCTGACAGGTCTTCTCGCGAAGGTCTGTTTTCGGTCGAAAATGACAGAACATGACGTCACTCTGACGTCATTTGTGGCCAACCTATCATAGCCTCTGGAAAAAAATTTTTGGTCACAATGTGTAAAATTGATGCCCGGAGGGGTCCTGAAAGTTTGGTGGCGATATCTCCAGCCGTTTAGGAGATATCGACCGAAAAGGACAGGGGGGGGGGCCGTTTCGGCCCCCCTACGGGGCGCGGGTTAAATACTAGCATATTCAAATTGAATTAATTTCGCCAACTAATTTGTTTGCGTCAAGTACCAACCGTGAGAAGGCGAAAACTTAGGTAATGGGTTTGATGTCGGAACTCGGGTGTAACCAAGTGCTTGTCAGCAGTTAAATGCCGCTTGCGTTAATATTTTATGACAGGTGATTAATTTTACAAGCCATTAGAGGTCATTTGATACACGCTTATGTGGGCCTTGTCCGGGAAAAGTTTTAGGCGAACTGTAACTCACGAGTCAGCACCTGCGAAGATGAAACATCATGAAGTGTTACTTCGTTCTGTATTGTACACCTACACATTTCAGCTTTTCATGTCCGGGCACTGACAAGACAACATTCGACACACTGCAGATGGCGCACTTCAGTTCAACCAATGAATAGTGACTGGTTGCATTCACTCAGGCGTTACATCGTACAACGTGATTATTTGGTGATAGCTCCTCATTCCTTCTGTCCTTCATACTTATACACATGTCATGCAGTTACATTGCTCCCTCTGAGTCTAGATGCCTTCCTTTTAAAAACACATTTATTTAATGCACTTCTATGCATCCACGCCAAAGTGCTCCTGTAACCAACACATTGCCTCTGTAACGATATTTAGCCCGCGAAAGTGCCTTAGTGGTCCTGGCTATAAATTTTAGCATGAGGTTTCCTTTCCTCCAGAGGAATCTTCATCTTCAGCTTTTCAGATTTACTTCTTCTTTCCAGCGAACTGAAAATGAAAACATAAACTGTGAGGTGTCGGCGTCATTCAAGGAAAAAAGAAAACACCGGTCAAGAGCAGTTCCTAGTCCTGCGATGCAAAATGGACGGGAGGATGACGTCCACGGGTATTGGAATACGGTGTTTTGTAGCATATATCGTAATTGATTATCGTGTGCTGTTAGAAAAGGTGTCATTGCATTTCGTATGCGATCATCTCAGAATACCTATTATAAAGCAAATCGCTAAGAACCAGAATGGTTTCGAGTGTTTGTAAATAGCAACGTTTTATAAATGGCATTCATACCTAATAGCATGCAAACATTGACCCTCATAGATTATAATTTGCTCCGTCAATCTTCGATCGAATTTCAGCTGATACCGGTTCTAGTTCTGTATAAGGAAAACCAAAGACCCAATCCTGTAGCATAGGGACTCTTGGCCTTCCGATTATCGTGATAGATAAAATATCTCCTCCCCGGGGGCGCCGCGCACACAACGGGAAAGTGACAGAGCACCGGGAAAATCCCACCGATCAGGGGCGCGGCAGGGGCGGGTCGACTCTGACGTCACTGGATCAGAGGTGACGTCACTGGATCAGCGGTGACACTCACCGGATGGAAGGAGTTGCCGAAGCCGCTGACGCCCGAGGGTCCGGCCGAGAGGGCACTGAGGCCGCTCGGGGGCACCCTGGCGAGGGGTCCGGGGCCGCTGGGCCCGCTGGGGAGGCCGCCCAGGTGGGGACCGGGGCCGCTGCCGAAGCCGCTGGGACCGCTGCCGAGGCCACTCGGTCCGCTCAGGCCGCCCTGCTCCAGCGCCTCGACGTTTGCCCAGAAGGACGAGTACGACTCGACGATGGTGACGCTGTGGGGAGGGTCAGCACAGGTCAGCTCAGCTGACAGCTGTCAGCCGTCACCACAGGTCAGATCAGCTGACAGCCAGGTCAGGTCAGCCGACAGTATCCCAATCAGGTCAGGTCACATCGGTCGAACGGCTGCTCAAATGCTGATCTTAGCAGTCGAGGAGACACGCACAAAGTTTTTGAGAAAAGGAATGACTTTATTTTTTACTGCAGTCAGCACATGCTTTTTGGGTCACTGACAATTGTTTCCACGACAACCAATCGGTTTGTGCATAGCAATTATGCGTGTAAGTTGAGACCTGATTCATCGTATCGTTCTTATTCATTGACCATCACATTTATTGACCGATCCTCGTTCCGTCTGTCTGCCCTATGAATCTAGCAGTGCACGTTTTGAGGTGTAACGACCTGGGCCGTGCAGTGTTGCAGCGGCCGGGGCTCGAGGGTGCAGATTGCAGGGGGCGGGGAGGGCCCGGTCGCTGGTGGAATCAATGCCGACAACTTCTATGGCGGTCAAACGCCATGGAGACTAGCAAACACGACGACGGCGCCTTGTGCCGTCTGTCGGCCCGGTCCTGCCAGGTGTGCTGCAAGGTGCCGTGCTGGGGCCGATACAATGTCGAGAGGCAGCTCAAAAACAGTTGGAAGGCGTTTTTAGTTAGAAGGTGATGCTGACGATGTTGTGACGGGCTGCTGGGCGATTGGATAAGACTGGTTGTGGCGTGCAAGTGACGGATGCTCGCTGAGGATTTACACTCGGATACAGGAGATCACGGTCTTGGCTATAATAAGGGAAAGAATCAGATCCCATTCCGTTGGGTGTTTGATCCACTCGGGCCAGGAAATTCGTTCGCATCTGAGCCCATCGTCCGGGGCGCGTGTAGACAGTCTGGACGTAGGCATAGTTGACCATTACTGTTGTTATTGTTTGGGCGCGAAACAGTTCACAACCGCAATACGTTTATCAGAGCCGAGCCATCGGACATTTATTGCCCGGAAACACTGCACACGTATGGAAAACCAGAGCGAGGATCAATACAAGAAATGTTCGTTAGTCTAAGTAGCAGTGCGCATGAGAAAAGCAAATATTCGTTATTCATGTGATGCAACGCGCTCGAAGCTATAACACTTTTTCTCATAACTTCGCTGCAATAGCTACTTAAAGGATTGGATGTTGGTCGCAAAGTGCAGACGTCGGCGAAATGACAGAACAGTAATAGTTTATAAGAATGATTAAATAAAATCTCTAAACTACTAACTAACAACTAATTGTGGTATAAAATCATTAGCTCTATGCAATAAAGTGACGGTGTCGAAGCACCGATGAAGTAAAAGCGAATTTTGTTTTTATAAATTGCCTTATCGCTTATGAAATGTGTTAATGCTGAGGGCTTAAAAGAAGTCAAGCATGTGTAGGGATTCTTGGAGGCTGAAAAATCACTATGTTACCTGTGCTCTTCTGCAATTGGATGATGATGATGTAAATTGCAATGTTACATAGTTGTGAATTATTTCAAGAAGTGCTGAGTGCTGCCTGATCAGTTGCATTTAAAGAATGTGTTAAAAGTTTCTTGATTTGCCGCAATAATGAGAGTGACAAAAAAAAAAACACAAGACAAAATATTGACACATCGTGTTCCAATTAATAGTGATACCAGTTGACTCCACGTAAGTCGCCTTCACATTTTTGACGATTACCTACAGTCAGTGTCATACAGTCTTCTAGAATGTCCACCGTTATTGCAGTCTAGTGGACCGTGAGCCCTTGACCCTCATCGATTGCACACCCAGTTACAGTAAGTACATTCCTCAGCGTACAGAAACCGCACCCGAGCCCCGTAGGCGCATCAGCCAGCCACGGAAACTTTGCACTCAGACTTCCAAACTTCCCAGACACTAGACAGACGTCCCATCTCGGCCAATGACGCGGAATTATTACATCAGTCGGTAACGGCATGGTCTGCGGCGATACGGGGCACAGCATGAACCAGGGTCAGGCTCACAGATACACATTTATCGCAGCGTGTGCTCGCTTAGATGGTGCGAGAGCTTAACTTAACTCATTAGTGGTTCCGTTAGAATCTGTACGAAGATAAATGAAACAAGTGAGAAAAATAATAAGGAAACAAAATAAAAAACATGACCTGTATATTGTATAACAGCAGGCATGCGAGGGAAATCACAAACTTCCGAGGTGACATGTCAGCTTTTAAAAAGATTGACGACGGTCAGGATAAATTTATCTATGCCCCAACTTTTGTAAGAGTAGGTACTCCCTCAGAAGGCTGATGACGGCTGACTCGTAGAGCGCCCAGTAGAGCGATACTTGCATTCCCCAATCCGCATATGTATGTACAAAAGTCCCATGCCCAGATAACTTATTATGCTCACCCCAAAAAACGTCCCTAACCCTCCTCACCTAATCAATGACCCAAACCCTCAGATGTATAAACTCGGTGACTCAATAGCCCCTCCCAGTTTCACATCTGTCGTCTAACCACCCACCTATCCACCCAGCGCCCTGCCCACCGCCCACCTGCCTCCTCCGCGACTGTACTCACTAGAAGGCCAGGTCGGTGCGTCCCTCCCAAGTGACCGCCGCCTCCGTCTTCTGACCTCGGTCAGCATGGGTCACCGCCGCACACTCGGGTAGGCCCTTGACGTTGGCGATGGGCAGCCAGGCGCCCTGACCACGCGCCGCCTTACCAGTCAGCGGGTCACGAGCCTGCACCATGAAGCCCTTCATGTAGGCGTTGCCGGTCAGAGAGCGGATGGTTACTGTGAAAAGAGAGACAGTGGTCAGCGACATTAGGGGAGAGAGAGAGAGAGAGAGAGAGAGAGAGAGAGAGAGAGAGAGAGAGAGAGAGAGGGGGGGGGGGTCAGCAATATTGCAGGGAGAGACGGAAGACGGTTTGGTCAGTTTTGGTCACTGCAGTAGAGAGGCGTAAAACGTAATCGTCATGGACGAGCAGACACGGCGGAAGCGACCGTCACCCCATCAATATGTAGATGCGGTAGAAAGCTCCTCTCATCAAGCTTCAGGAAGCGGGTTTGGTCACTACATAACTCAGTAAGCATTGCAGTTCCATTTAGTACAGTTATTGCCTAGCTCTGGGTAAGTTTGCACTTTGCAGGTATTACTTGTTTTTAAAAGTGAAGGCGGTTATAACTTATAACATAGGAAAATGCAACAGGAAACACTACATCACCCACAATGGAAACGTTGCCTCTCCGCCAGGTTAGATCGGGGAAGAAATCGTTTTGAATAACAGCAAGACTAACAGTAGCGCCATGATCAAATGGGGTAACTTTATTTAATATCGTCTTGATGTGCGGTTTGTGGTTTATTTTCATGCTTCTGGCAGTTTTGGGTTAACTGTTTTGTTACGCATCGCCATTATGAACGCTCAAGGTACATACATATGATCCCCGTTTGCTTTTTGTCTGTAAGCCTGCCCTAGCTGTGCACTTGAGGCGAAAGGCATGGTGACATCAAAAGCTTCCCGATGCAATATACCGATACACGTTCGCTTTTGATCTCGCTTGGTAGCTCAAGTACCTTAAAGCAGTGGAGTTGTTGCCCTTTTAGCCGCCGTTTTATAAAGGATGAGCGCAAAACAAGCAGCAAAAACTGCTGTACCTAATCTTTTCAGCCTTGTATTGATATCGTATAAGCCAGGTTCATAAACTTCTGTATTACAAACACAGTGTAAAATATAAAGTAGTCTATGATACATGATTTGACGCTTATGCTTTAATTCTGCACGAAACCTATGTTAAACGTGTGCAGTGCTGTGTTACCCACGCATTTTATTATTTATATCCCTCGCGCATATCTTCAACAATGCTTTGTCTCCTAAACTGCACTATCTCTGAGCTGTTAATCGTATAATCCTGCTCTCAGTACCCACGCGTGCAGCGTTCATAGCCCATGGTCTGACCTTTCATTGTGCTCCAGCTCACCCACGCTCCCCAGTGCTAATTCCCGCGTCACACACAGACCAGGGAAAATGCACACATGGCTGGCAATGGAGACAGATTAACTCTGCGGCCCTCGAGGAATCCGGCCGGACCCACATCCGGAATTAACGGAGCGAGACATGTGAGAGGGACGTGTCGGCGGGCCGCTGTCCGGCCATTCCGCCCGCTGTCCGGCTATTCCGCGGCCATTCCGCCCTGTTCCGCCGTATCCCGCTCTGAGATGTCCGCCGGCTGTGATCCCACTATCGATCTCAGTAGAGCCGACCTTGCTGCGCTGCATGCCGCGGCCATGAACGTTGCACCGCTCCCACACGGGTCACTAGCGACAGGTCACGGCCGCCCGCACGATCCACGTGGAAGTCCGACTCTAACCTGGACAGATGGGCACGACATGGCCGAAACGTGCCGTCTTCTCCGCCCGCCGGTCCCGGTGGAGACCCGGCATTCATTATTTAGGGTTTGGCTCGTTATGGGCGGCTAGGTCGAGCTTGGCTCATGGGTGACTGTCGACAGTAAAGTGAAACGCTGAATTCGTGAATAGGTCGACATAAAGTGACATTTTTCATTATAAGAGAAGACTTATGTTTTGTAGATATAGTGTAGGTATGCTGTTTTCGAATTGTAAGCTTATATTTAAAGATTGTGTCTGTCTTTTTAGTCTATGACTTCCTTACATTCAGTGCATTGGAAATGAAGGAATATAGCAGTGTTCACCGAAATATCCACATTCTGCTCTCTTTTATTTTTTCTATTTTGCCAAAAAGATCAACCCACTCTCGATCTGTGCACAGGAAATGGTGCACTGATTGCTCACTCATTTAGCTCTAGGCAATGCTATAGACTATGTTCTGACATGAAAATTACAGATAACGATTACGAATGCTTCCTCCGTAATTTATCAACATAAGGAAATTCCCACGACTGACATCATGATGAATGCCTTCCTCATTTTAGTCCATTGTGATGAACAATGGCTACGGTAGGAGACATGCCTACTGCTCTGCAATGATTCTTGTCAACAATGACGAAGCTTTTACGTGTGATAATCAGCGTTTCATAAAAGCTTGTTCTTCCGCACACGTGGCTATTTTGGGGAAGATTCCATAGCCGATGACTTTCTCAAGGAAACTGAACCGGTTCATTCTGGACGTCGTTCTGTTCTTAAAGTTAGTGGACAGTGTTCGATTTTCGCTGGCATCGATGAGCTTATCATAACTTTGATATCAATCACATTCGTCGAATCGCAGCAGCAATAAGCTGTGCTCGACTTTTGCAATTGATAACTTTATCTTCCGCAGTTATTATCTGTTTAGGTAGGTGTGAATTTGCTGGCGCGTTACGCAAATATTTCAAGTCGTAATTCAGAATTAGGGCGATCACTGCGCATTTGACTGTTAAAGAGGAAGTTCAAACTCATAGACCATCCGTAATGTTGCAATGACAGCACTTCCGGTAAGAAGCGTATCAACAGCTATGATCTGCCATTTTGTTATTTGATCTCTGGCTGAGGTTGTAAGTACCTAATAGGCTCGGTGTGTGCCGGTGTGGGGTGCCTATGGCAAGGGACGCCGGACGAGTGCTTTTATTCTCTAATTTAGCCCGCAGTAGACTGGAGAACGGTCGGCTAGTGGCCATTACTAAAGTAAATCACGGTAGCACCTGGTCTCGATGGATTCAACAGTCAACGGGCAGGTGTGGCCATGGGGGAGATAGAGGGAGGGGAGGACGATCGCTGCTGCCCACTATTTTTGCCAAGGCGGCCTGATACTGCTATTCCAGCGCTGTTGGTCAGCATCCGCAGAGTATAGAACAATATCAGTGCGTCACTATAGCGTCACTATACCGGCCGTTACAGCGTTACCACGCCGTTAGTTTACATCCTACCTACACACCGTCACTACAACACACGTGACTAGCCTAGCCTGGAATGCGGTCGCCGACATTGTACCTCCCCCCCCCCACCCCCATGCCTCCTACCGCTCCTGACGTATAACCACAGGTAGCCCCCAAAAGCTGCGCGGTCAAACAATGCACGCGTGCTGGCGAAGACAGAGTGCTGGCAATGAAAGGAGCTGAAAAATGACCGACGGTCATGCGTTACATGACGCGCCCGTTGTGTGGAACGCCCGTGATGTGTTTAGTGTTGTCCGGTCAATGTTTACCTCAACTTCTATCGATTGTTGGCTACTTGGAAACGCACAAAAATAAAAAGAAATCAAGGTTACTTGCTGAATGATTATCAGATGTTGAAAGGAATTCACGAATTATGTTTGTCAAAATGCATCTGTAACAGCAGATATTAAGTCACTATCTTATGCTTAACGGTTTCCAGACCGAATGAATTTTTCCGTATATGTTAAAGGGACTATCCCACCTTCTAAAATGTTGTTAAAACCAGTTAAATTGTGCCCGACTTTATAGATTGGATGACCAGGAACACGGTTCTGGCATTTATTTTTCATTAAACATCTTAGGCTTCCCATATTCCAAGCACAAACTTTCAAATATGTGACGTCACAGCCCAAAATTACATCCTTCCCCAGGCCACATTACTGTCATAAAGCTGATTCTTTTTACTCTGTAGGCACCACAACAAAGTTCAGACCAAGTTTTAAGCGATTTTTCAACGAACAAACCCATTTAAATCAGAATGACTAAACGAGGTGACGTCACACTAACGGTCGCTCCATGTTGAAGATAGGGCCTTGTACAAGGCCCATTTTCAAATGAAGGGAACGAATTTCTTCATCACCAAGAGGCCGAGGGGGTTGCAACCTAGATAGATAGTGGTTTCTGAACCTCGCCGCAAACTTGGCTATCTCAACTCAAACCCCATGTTAAAGGTGGGATAGTCCCTTTAATCAAATCCATAATCGCATAAAATGACAATTTCTAGGAAGCGCGCTGAACATCATTGCATTTTGAGTGATGCGATGCGCATAAGTCCAAGGTTTTGAAGCTACCTGAACCCATGGCGTCACTGACCTACAACTAGGTATTCAACTGTGTTTCTCAGTTGTGTTATGACTATTCCATTGTATTTCTCAATCGTGATATGCAGAACAGTACCTATTCAGGATTCCCGAATATCGGCGCCTGTGTGTGAGTAATTCGAAACTATATTTTTATGCTATTGCCTTTTGGGTGTTTCCACCTTTCAAAAATGAAGAATGATTTATGGCTGTTATTGTTTTCTCTCTTCTACCATACTCCTACCTATGTAGAAGAAAACGAGCAAACTACCACTAAAACGAATAACGATAACATCAAGTCTTACGAGTTACGGTTACTTATTTATTCTGCGGAGGAGCTGCAGACAAGCTAAGGCAAGCTAAGACAAGCTAAAACAAGCGGGCATTCATCCAGCGACTGGTTATGTCATCCGGAGACCGGAGATCGCACAAGCAATAGACGTCACTCAATGGGTCTCATTAGCCGATCGCTGCCTTTTTGACGAGGGTTCGCTGTCACCACTTGTCTCCACACTGACGAGCTAGATGGCCAATACCAAGGGCCATCTGCAATCAGCACAAAAGATGTAAGATACTCCTAAAAAAGCGCGACATGACATAATAGGAATTTGTTACACAAGCGCTGGAATAGACGTAAAATCCGACATATGATTTGTTTCCCAGCTCAGCACTGCACCGTCGCGACGAGGAAAACAATCTCGGCCGCCACATTCGTCACGTAATTCTGTGACGGCATTGGCGCGCCACCAACGCCGTGTTACGGTGGCTTATAGTCATCATGACGCCCCGTGTCGGCCTCGAGATTACACCGGCGAACCCACCCTC